AACCTTAATAGCTCTTAGGTCCTCTTGGTTAGGACTTGTTAAGTTTTTACCTGTCCCAGACTGTGAATCGAATTGAAGATTAAATCTTTAATCATATAATAATTCCTCTGCAAAAACCTTTTCTCGCAGAGGCTTTGGGGGGGGTGTCTCTATAAAGCTTTCCCACTTCCAAAGGCCTCGTCGCCATTGCCCCCCCCCCCCCCCCCCCCCACCCGCCGGTTGTGCGCGGGGGGGACCCCCCCCCCCCCCCCCCAGGATCCCAGGACTCGGTTGAGGGGTCGCGTGGGAACCAGAATCCCTGCCTCTGTTCTTTCCTCCTGCGTGGTGGGTCTCCAAACAAACGCCCCCCCCACCTTTGAAGTCGTTGTTGTGTTAGCAAGGCTCCCTCAACGCATCTCCTGCCGTTACACACGACCCCCCCCTCCAAACCCACCAGACACACTTCAAAGATGCTCAGGGATGGTGAATCTCCCAGCTTCTCCCCCCACCCGAAGAGATTCCGGGGGGGGGGGGAAGAGATTCCGTGGGACTCTCGCAGGAGCGACCTTGCCTGGACCAGGTGGAGAGGACCTTCCTTATTCCTCTCTCTCTTCTCGCCCCCCATCCTCCAATCGCGACCCCTCCCCAAGGACCCCTTTCCCTGCCCGGCCCAACTTCCAGGGTTTCTCAGAGGGAGCGTTTCTGCACCGAAGAAGCCCGAATGCCGGTCGGGGGGGGGGGGTGTTGGTTGGGGAGTGTAGGATGTGTGTGTGGAGGGGGGAGGCCGGACTGCAAAGCCCGGCCAACAAAGGCCGCTCTCTAAACCCCCTCCCCAGTTCCCGTTCAGACAAGCCGAGGGCTGAAATCCCGGGTTAGTGGACCGTAGCCCCCAACCCCCCCCCTCCTCAAAAGCAGCTGTCAAGTGCACCCCCCACCCCGTTGCCTCCATCCTCATCCTCCTCCCCAGGTTGCGAAGCTTGTCCCCCACCCCTAGCCATCCCTCGGCTTCGCCCTAGGCCAGGGAGGCGGATAGCGGGCGGCGGCTCGACTTACCGGCCAGCTTGAAGGGCTGAGCATCCCCGTTGACGCCGCAGCCGGAGGGGAGGAGCGGGTTGGGGTTGACCACCGAGGCGGCGGCGGCGGCGGCGGCGGCGGCGGCGGCGCAGGAGCCGTTGAGTAATCCGTCGATGGAGAAGGGCACCGAGGCGGCGGCGGCGGCGGCGGCGGCGGCCTGGAGCTGGTGGCCGGCCAGCTCGTAGACGTGGGGGGGCCCGATGGGGTAGGGGAAGCCCACCATGCCGCCAAACTGGGCATGGGGGTGCTCGAGGAGGCGGCTGTCCATGCTGGAGCGGGGCCCGCGGGCGCTCAGCGCAGCTGCTGCCGCCACCGCCGCCGGAGGAGCGCGGGGGTGGCGGCGGCGAGGCGGTGGCGCAAGCCGGGCCGCCCGGGCGTTTTAACTTTAGCACCGGCAGGCTTCCTCATCATTAGGCTCAGGCCCGGGGAATTTGGGACCAATAAGAAGCAGGCATCGGGGATGACGTCAGAGGCGGGCCGGGCGGGCGGGGGGGGG